ATATCAAAGAGATTGTCCGATGATTTCCGCATTCCATTGGGTCACCTGTCTTTGGAATGGGCACAAATATGGATCTCTTCCAATCAGTTGGCCAGATTGTTGTCTTCCAAATTTCTTGGTAGAGATGAGTGAATGACTCCAGTGCCACCTCACTTTTTTGAGAAATATCAATTTTTATTCCATCAATTCCTGGTGCCTTTTTTTTTTTTTTTTGCCAATTTCTTCAACGCACCATGGACTTCCTCCTTCAGTATCATTGGCTTTTGTTCATATGGTACCTCTTGAAACAGTTGAACATTAACCGTTTCCTTTTGGTACAGTAACTCTTTGTATTCCTTCCATCTTCTCTTGATGCTTTTTGCATCATTCAATAATTTACCCAGTGAATCTTTCAATGACAAAAGTCGAGGCTTGAATTTTTCTTCAGTTCCCCCAGCTTGAGAAATGCTGAGCATGTGCTTCCTTTCTGGTTTTCTGACTCCAAATCTTTGCACATTTTGTTGTAATATTTGGCTTTATCTTCTCGAGCTGATCTTTGAAATTTTCTGTTCAGCTCTTGGACCTCCTCATTTCTTCCATTTGATTTAGTATCTCTGTGCTGGAGAGCAAGTTTCAGTGTCTCTTCTGATATCCATTTTGACCTTTTCCTTCTTTCTTGTGTTCTTAATGACTTTTTGCTTTCTTCATGTATGATGTTCTTAATGTCATCCCACAACTCTTCTGGTCTTCGGTCTTTAGTGTTTAATGTTTCAAATCTGTTCTTCAGATAATGTCTAAGTTCAGGTGGGTTATAGTCAAGGTTCTATTTTGGCTCTCATGGACTTGTTTTCATTTTCTTCAGCTTTAATTTGAATTTGCATGAACAACTGATGATCTGTTCCACAGTCTGCCTCTGGCCTTGTTTTCACTGATGATATGGAGCTTTTCCATCTTCTCTTTCTGCAGATGTAGTCAATTTGATTTCTATGTATTCCATCCGGTGAGGTCCATGTGTATAGTCAGTTGTCTCTTATGCTGTCTAAAGAAGGTATTTGAAATGAACAAATTACTGTTTTTGCCGAAATCTATCATGCATTCTCCAGCATCATTTCTATCACCAAGGCCATATTTTCCAACTACTGATCCTTCCTCTTTGCTCCCAACCTTTGCATTCCAATCACCAG